AGTTCTCCCGGTAGGTCACCAGCCCCCAGTTCTCCATCGCGCCAGCATTGAAATCAGGGAGGCCAACCTGGTCTGGGGACAGAGGGAAATCCCATCAGTGCCCCACTGACAGCACGCTGGACCTTCCCCCCTGCAGTGGGCACCTCAACCCAGTGCCCCGGGCACCCCGCAGCACCCACCAGACTTCGGGAGCGGGTACGTCGTGTTGTAATGTTCCTCAAAGAATTCGAGGATGGGACCAGTGACATTGAGTGCGTAGCCGCCCTGGCCCTCTTCGATGGCTTTGGGGCGGCCCCAGATGCGGATCTGGAGAGGAGGGATGCAGGACTCATCAGCGGCCCAGGCTCAGCCACCCAGGTGGGCAGGGGGGGCACCCAGCCCATCCTACCAGTGTGCCCGACGAGTTCGTGTCCCTATGGTCGAACTGGCTGACAATGAAGGCCAGAAGGTAGGTGGACATCCGGGGCGTGGTGTCAAACTCAGTGACACTCCAAGTCACTCCATCAATAATCTGTTGGCTGGTGTCTGTGGAGATCAGAGGATCACTCCACAGCTCTGCCAGGCCCCCAGCCCCCTAAAGGGGTCCCCCCACCCTACTCACTTTTGACAGGCATGTTGGAAATGGCCGTATAGTTGGTGGGGTGGATCATGGTCACTGTGAAGTTGGCTTTCATGGCCGGCTCGTCAAAGCAGGGGAAAGCTTTGCGTGCATCAGCCGGCTGCATCTGCGTGGTGGCCACCACCTGCCTGTGAGCCAAGCCCATCAGTGCCAGGGGTCCCTGTGGGGGCTGCACCCCCCCAGTCCCCTCTCTCCCATCCCCACTGGGGCAGCATGAGGATGCAAGGGGGGTACAGAGGCTCTACGCACCCATCCCATTGTCCTGGTGGGAGAGGAGCCCCAAAGCCAGCCCCTTGCCCTCCACTGCCCAGTGCCAGCCCCGTGTCCCTCACTCCCCTTCCCACCACCACATCGGGCCAGCCCTGTGGCTTCCACCCCATCTCCTGCCCTCCACCTACCTGGTGCCTGACTCGTCGGTGTATTCGCTGCGATAGAAGCCAGCCAGGTCATCGGCCAGCTCCCCGGTGAAGCTGCTGGACAGCTGGTAGCGCCGGCCCTGCTGCAGGGGAGAGCTCAGCTGCACCACCAGGTACTGGGTGGTAGTCTCCAGCCAGGTGCGGGAGATGGCAGGGACTGCACCACCGTCCTCTGCCTGCAGCGTGGCGTGGAAGGAGCCCTGCATGGTGTAGTTCAGCTTGTTGCTGTGGATGAGGATGAGGTCGGTGGCTTCCTCGCACACGAACACCACGCTGCTGTTGCCCTTGAAGATGTACATGTTGTTGGCATCGGGCGTCAGGAAGGGCTGCAGGAACACCTTGTAGCTCTCCGGCTTCAGCGTGGTTGGTAACCTCCATCGGTTCCAGGGGTTGTTGGGGGCAGGAGTGGTGGTGGTGGGGCTGACTGTGGTGTTGGTACCCACATCTGATGTCCCTTTGTTCTTTTCCTGGGCATACACCACCGAGAGTGCAATGATGGTGGCCACAGCCCCCACGGCCAGCACGATGGCCACGACGCCCACGGTCTTGCTGATGAAGAAGCCGGCTGCCATGGCAGGCAGCAGGAGTGACACTGGCAGACACGGTGCTGGTGCGAGCGCGGCTTTTAGCCTCTCACTCCACGGGGTTTATTAGTCCAAGTTAATGGGTGAAGGATTAAATGGCCATGGGGCTCAGGGCGGCGACAGACCCTGGGATGAGCTTTCCACCCGCCCACCCCCCAGGCTGGCAGGAGCACCAACGCCCAGCGCCGCTGCTGCAGGGGCCGAGCTGGCCGTGAGGGCTGGCACCATCGGGGAGCTCTGGGCCTGGACCCCCGGCGAGCTCCCCCAGCGCTGGCCTGGTCCTGCAAAAGGAAGGACAGAGCAGGTGGTCACAGCCAGCAGCCACGTCCCCACCACACTGCAGGGCCCAGCAGTGTGTCCCCATCAGCCAAGCCCAGACAGAGCGTCAGTGTCACCCCATTTACCCTCGAGTGACAGGGTCTGAGCCACTGTCAGAGGGTCCACACCACCCCTGCCTGCGAGGGGCACAGCTCACAGGCTGCCCCACCCAGGGAAAGCAGGGGACATGGGGTGCAGCTCAGGGGTCTCGCAGCGGTGGGGAAATGTGGGAGGAGACACCTGGGAGGAGCTCCCCCTGCCCACAGCCCTCTCAAAGTCCAGGGTCGCAAATATGGAGGCACCGGGGTCAAACTCCACCGTTGTGAACCCAGTCCCCGTGGGCACATGTGAAGTCCCCACCCAGGGTAGGGTGGGGATGGCACATCCTGTCACATAATGGGAAAAAATAGGAAGCCCTGTTCCCGAGATCTAATCGGTGTCTCCATAGGGAGATAGGGGCAGGTGTTGCCAGGAGCCACAGGTGGACCAAAGGGCAAGCCAGGATAAATGGCGTCCTCAGGGCGCCCTGCCCTGTCCCTGACACCCAGCTGCACCCGCCAGGGCCACCATGCCTGGCACAAACTACTCTGCTGGTGTGCCTGGCATTCCCTGTTAGGCACAGCCATCCCCCGGACCCAGAGGTCACCGCTGGCTCTCTCAGTCTCATCCCCACCCTGGCTCTGGCCAAGGACAGTCCCCCACTGGCCCCAAGTGGCTGGGAGGGTGCCAATGGCTGGCCTGGATGGAGTTAACAGGGAGCAGCACTGGGGCGAGACACAGCACCCACACCCTGGAGTCCCCCTGCACCTGCAGGATTCCGTCCCCACCCCCAGACGACCCCTCTGGAGCCCAAACAGCAGCACACACATCTCCCACGTCCCACAAGCAGCACAGATGTTGGGTGTCATCCCCGTGGGGACACCCCACAGCCTGACATCCCCCCAGAGCCCTCCACACCGTCCTGCACCCCCACAGACCCCCCCAAGCCCTGCATTGCGCAGGGTTCCATAACCGCCCTGAATGTGAACCCCACTGCTGGCC